CGCATTTGTCTCAGTGACACTGATGCCTAAGAAAAGCTGTGATCTGTTTTGATTCTTTTTTTTTCTGGGTTGTTTATGTTGGCTAAGATTTGGCACCCAGCGAGTCCTGTTGGATTCCAGTGGGATCAAAGATGTATTATTGTACAGTGTGTCGCAGAGGGTCGGGATAATATGGGGGAAACAAACCTTGGAAGTAAATTCAGCAGGGAGGAATTAACATCTGTTGTTTTCTCTGCCAAGGCTGTTTCAGCATGGGGTTCCTTAGTGAAAGATCAGAAAAAAACAAGACTGTTTTCCCCAAATTGAACATTTAAAGCACTCAGACTATACTGACACAGATTCGGGATGAGATGTGATTGAACAAGTAAACTAGGTTATTATGAGATCGAGGGTAGCTTGTTTATTGGCATTCTAAGATCAGGTCATGCTGAAATGCGCTTCACATTCATTTAATTTACTGACCTGTGATTGATTTGTCTCTTTTCTTCAGCGTTTTCAATGATTTTAGTTTTCATGTTGAAATAAAGAAAGAAATAATAATAGAATAGAAGTAATAAAGAAAGAAGATAGTTGTACTGCTACACCGCAGCTTCCTAGGGAACAGGAAAGTAATGTTCAAAGGTCCAAGCAAAGTTTGGACACACTCTGATTGAGTAAAGTTTATACAGTGGAAATACAAATCAAGCACAGCTCAACCAGGGCAAATGGGTGCTAATTAATCAACAAACAAAAAGTTTAATTCTTGCAGAAATACCCCAACCTACCTAATTATTCTACTTAAAAATAATAAAATGGAAGTGAGGTCAACAGAGAGAAAGATCTAACTCTTGGCTCATTCTCCAGGGAATAGCAAGAGGATAAAGAACTATAAAAAACAATGCAAAAGAATTCTAACCCTACCCTGAACTCTGTTTGTCTCACATATAGTTACTCACAAAGAGCAGAGATCGTTTAGGTGCTCATACTAAATCACAGCTGCCTTGAATGGCAAGTTGGCAGCCCTTTAAAAAAACAGAAATATATATATTCTGAGGGTGCAGCATAGAACTATGGCACTGATCCAATCAGTTGGTGACAGAAGCCAGAATGGAGAAGAAGCAGAAAGGGGAGGAAGGCAGGATGAGGAACAAGTGCATGCCCCAATCAGGAAAAGGTAGCACTCCTTCACAGCATATAAAACAGTCAAATTAAAGATTCTACAAGAGGAAGGAGTGCAACATCCCAGTGCTATGGTCGTACAATTTGTGGTCTGGCCTGAGAAGCCAAAAAGTTGATCACAAAAGCAAAGGTGGAGTAAAATGTGGGCTTTGTTTAGGCCATGCTGTAACATTTTCACTACCAGCCATCTGAATAAGCTGTTCTTGTGAGGGTTTTGTTAGTCATAGATGGTTAAATAATATCAATATCTGGATTGCAGAAAACAGAAAATCCTGAACTGTTGTTGAAGATTCTCTATAGTAGAGAAAACCTGTCCAAACAACATGAACAAATATTAGAACATGCTAGTCAGCTCGATTTCCTTTGCATCATCTCAGATTTTTGATGCCAGACTGGCAGACCAGCATATGATTGATGAGGGCAAGAAAAATGCAATTTGCAATCTATCTGTTTAGAGAATGCTAACTGTTAATTGCCATTTTAGGGTGGTTTATAGTTTTTAGCCTCTAATGTGGTGGCTGCTACAACCCATCAGCTATTTGTTTCAAGGCCTGCAACTTTTGCTGTCACCACTAGTGACACTAATTCTTAAGATTAAGGGTGTGGTTTCATTAATTAACAGGTTGCAGACACAAGGGGCTTGAGACAGTTTTCTAATTAGAGCCGCAGAACAACACTTAAACATGAGTTTTCCATGGGCAAAGGTAGCCAATGTGGGGCCTGTAGCAATTTTGCCCTTTTGGATCCCCAAGAGGAAATTCTCTGGGTACCCGACAGTGGGCTTGCTCACAGAAAACCCTCTGTGGCTGCTTTGTGGGTTAGCCCATACAGGCCCCATAGTAGTTTTACCCTGAAGGTCCCCCATTACAGTTTTCTGTGGGCAACCCATAATAGTCTTGCCCATAGAAAACCTATATAGCGACCCAAAATAGCCCGTTGCAGGCTACTGTGGGCACACATTTTCTGCCCCAGATTAAAATATGTGCTGAGCTATGACATAGACTCTGCAACAAAGTTTATGCTTCAGTTTTGGTGAATAAAATTCTAGTACTTTATTAGTGTGTTACTTGCTACTTATTAGCAGGTATGAATGCAACTTTCTAACAAAGCTTATCAGTGTTTGCCGATAACTTAAGACTTACACTTGTAGTCCAAAAATTGTAACCTTTGGCTGCAGTCAAAAAGATAACATTTAGGCTTTAAGCCTGCATATGAGAGTTGATTATTTCTTTTTTGCTTCTTATCTATAGTCTAACACTGTACACCACTTTCCTTTTTGCAGACAGGCAGAATAATATGAAGGCTTTAGATGTGTTTGAGTGATCAGGAGTATTGCAGAGCCTGGAAATGGGGGTTATGGCCCCAATGTATCCATCTTCATCCATCTATAATCTCATTGTACGCGTTAGATTCAGTGCACACATTGCCACCATCTTCAGCACCCCCTGGTCCGCGTGACCACATCCACATCCAGACTGCTAATTGGCAAGGAACTGTGGGTCTCCAGGGAACTCATTCCAGATGAGTCCTGCTGCCTGAGCCTCTGTTGGATGTTCAGAAGGAAATGGGCCCTCGAGGGTGCAAAGGAGGGATTGTCAAGATGAGATTCACTCACTCACACACCCACAGTGGCATACATGCTTTGTTTTGCGACTGTATGTTGGAAGCAGTATACGTGTATTACTCAGCGTGTTGTGACAGCTTGTGGACAGCGTGGACTGCTTTTTGTCACGTCTTATCCAGGTCAGCTGTCAGAAAAATGCTGAGACGATAGTTGTGGCAAGTTTGACACAGATTTGAGTCTCGTCTTCACTTTCTTGAGCTCAGAGTGCACAGATGTCTTCTGGGAAAAGTCATGCAGAAGCACCATTATATTCTGTATGCTGCCTATTTAAGATATCTTGATTTCATAATGGGTCATTTTTTAACTATTTTTGTGTTTTATAACTTCATTTCTTTTCATATCAGGAAACACAGTGGGGTTGGAGCCTTTTTGGAGTCAATTAATACACATTCATGTTTGACTATCAGGCACCCATTGAATTCGTTGATATTTTTAAATTCTGCTGTTCTTCAGATATGTTCCCTACTGTATTTTTTAAAAAGATTTTAAAGACTTTATGAATCTCCTAGAAAAAAAAACAAAGGTTATGTAGCAGCCTCGTGCATACTCTGTCATGCTACTGCAGTTGTTTTCTGTGTGTGTAGGTATTTAATAGTTTTTTCAAAAGTACAAAAAACACAGGTAGTGGCTACAGTAGACACGTTTGCTCTTCTCTGCGACTGGTTGGCAGACCAACCACTGCACAAGCAAGAGTAGCCTACAGAGCAATTGCACCACATGATTTGTACACTTGCTCCATCTGGCAATAGAGGCAGCTAGATGGGCTGTCTGTAGCTCACCCAGGTTTACCAACAGTGCCAACATGCTTATAAAGCACTTGGAATGCTCAAGTGGAGTAGAATAGGGCTATATAAGAACCATCTAACCATCTACTGAGCATACACGTCATGGATGGTGAACTTTCTATTTCCAAAGACTAAGTGCTTCAAAGAAGCTTGCTATACTTCAGACACATTGATCAACACCCAAGGGTGAAGCAGAACTCTATAGTCAATGTTTCAAAAAATATTTTTTCTGGTTTCTTCTATGGTTTATTAGTTATCTACCTGGCAACATAACAGTATCCATACCCACTACATGCCAGCTGCCATCAACTTTTAATGATGGAAATGATTAAATCAGCAGGTCTATTTGCTATGGACTAGGCCAGGTAAAACTGTTGCTAAGGAACAAAGCGTAGACTGATAGAAGAAGAAGAGTGTGGTTCACACAGAGATTTAATGTCATTCTCATTAAATATTAATGTACTTCTTATAAATGACATTTCCATGCTGTGTGACCATTTAACTCATGTAAACTCACACTTTGGTGGGTGGTGGTAAAACACAGAAATATGCAGCAACGGTATATGTGGCTCCATATCAGACATCGACAGGGTTGTTTGTAGACATACTCAGAAATTGCTAGTAAATCACTACATCTCAAGTTATACATTACAAGCAGCTCTTATAGTATATTCAGCCTCATTCATTCAGGCCTAGTGACAGGTGTAGTGAGTCGTAGTTGCCAGAAGATCGCAGACAGCTCCCCAGTCCTATATGACTGTGGTCTACACTGTATTCATGCTTTCTATCAGATACTTTTTAAAGGCTATATTTCTTCAATTAAACTAGAGATGCACAAATTGCAGTTTTATCGGCCGATTGTCATTTACCATTTTTTGTAAGTGTGACCTGCGGATACTGTATTTTGCCAATTATGATTTTCTTTGTATGTCCAATAACTGACAGCCTATACAAAGAAAAGTCAGGTTTTCTTAAATGCAAATTTGTGTTTGTATAATAAAATAAATTATTAAACTTGGACCTTTTCCCAACTTGCAAATTGCAAAATAAAAAGAGCCGCTGTACATATATTTATTTTACTTTACCAAACACAAGCAGACACAACAGATTTATATAACAAAACAAATCTTACATGATTTTCCAGTTTCATAGATAACAGGACAGGATTTCTTTTTTTTTTTTTCCCCACTTCTTCTTAGTGTGTTCGTGCTTGTAACTCATTGTTGGTAAGCATTTCCAACATTAGGCTGTGCTGTGCAACAGCAGCAGGAATCTGAATAACTTGTGTAACTTCACAGTATTAATTTACTGAATGTGTCGGGCATGGAGAGCTTGTTCTGTGCTTTACCTCAGCTGTCATCTTTGTAAACAATTGATGTTGCGATAGTCGTCACTGATGAATAAAATGCTCTTCCTGTTTACTGTGTCCTCAGGAAAAGGTGACGTGTTCGGAGATGTCTTTTGGAAAGAAACGACTCTTGCACATGCGTGTGCAAATGTTAGAGCGCTTACCTACTGTGACCTCCACGTCATCAAGAGGGAAGCTTTGCTCAAAGTTTTGGAGTTTTACAGTTCCTTCGCCAACTCTTTCTCCCGCAACCTCATCCTCACCTGTAACTTGCGCAAGCGGGTAAGGCATTCAGCTCTTTGTACATGGTACATAAGTAGTAATAATAACAGACATCACTCCACTTTGCAGTCTGACAAACCTTTCTTGCTGCTTTCTGTGTAGGTGGATGTATTTATGACTTCTTCTCACATCACTGACAGTCAAATTGTTCTTTATTTGACTTCACAGTTGGTTTTAGAGAACCTATTCTCTAAAGCCAACTTTAGAATTTTTTTTTAGGTTTTCAAATAGTTAAAAGGAAACAGGTAGAAATGAGCCTAGATACTAAACTCTACCAGTTCTGCCAAGAAGAGAAGAATGGTCAAACATTCAGCCAGAATTATGCAAAAGCTGTTGATGGCTACCAAAAATATCTTGTTGAGGTACAGCTTTCTAACAGATAACCAAAGGTTAAATGTCCAAGGGTGTATGTATGTATGTATTTGACCCTGTGTGTGTGGATTAGGGAAAATCCAAAAATAAACTCAAACTTGTAGAGTTTATTTTGGATTTGGATTAAGTTGTATGCTGTAAATCCTTTCACCCTGTAAAAAGATCAGTTTAAGAGATCATTAATAGCTCAAAATCACCATGAGTACATGACCACAACTGTGCATAGACCCATCAAATAAAACAAATAAAAAACACATAAAAAGTTTGGGGATTTTGTAAATTTAAGCAAAGTGACACATCTACATCTTTACTTCATTAATAAGTAGACAGTATTGTTGATGCACTGACGCTGTTGTGACAACAACCGTACTCATCAGTGCAACAGCACAATTGACTCATAGCTTTTCAGGCTTCGCTGCTGTTGACAGGGTCAGTAGTAGTGGCACCTAAATTTTGTACTTAGTCTACCAACCCAAGCTGTCTGCTCCTCTGGCCAATAGCATCAAGCAATGACTGGACTTCCACTCCCCGCAGAAAGCCAAGATGATGTAGATTAGAGAGCAAGATCAGATTATCATGCAGGTTGGTTGTTGAATTACGTCTGTGCTGTAGCAGTGTCTGCTGATGCTAGACACCAACACAAACATGTCACGGTGACACTGAATTTTTAAAACAGTCAGGTAAAGAGAAGCACACAGCACTGCTTATGTACCAGAGGGGGCATTCTGTGTTGTTGCAAAACAACAGCTCACTTTTTTATAGTAAGGTTTTTTTTTTTTAATATTACAGCTTTGATACACTTTGACTAACATGATATATCTTCAATACAACTTCCTTTGCTGCCACAGCCATGCTCTAGTGACAAATATATCCAAACACAAAGTTTGACATTAGTAGTCACGAGTCCCCATTTGAAGGTTCTGGTAAATCTTGTTTTTATGTGACAAGTCTGCGTGAGATTTCTTGCTTTTGAAATATCAAAAACATTGCAACTGGAAAAACGATAAAACATTCAAGTTCAGGTGTCATATACACTACTTTCTATGTAGTGATCAAGCCTTTAAGTTCAGTTTGATGGCTTGTTGGATGCTGGTGATAGTGAGAATGAATCTTTAGGCTGGTTAGCTTTCTAAGCTTTTTTGCTCACTGTAATAGTGACTGAGCAGTGTGAATGTTTAACAGCAAGTATTTTAATTTCTGACGCCATGCTTTACTTGTCAATTTCATGCAATCAACTCTAAATCTAGAACACATTTGAGCCAAAGCTCTATTTTCTCTGGAAAAGTGGGATATTATTTGGAAATTTGGAAAGTTTTGACGTTCCAAATAAGAGAAAAGTATGGCTCAGCTGGGGCTGAATTCATTAAAAACAGATCGATACAGTTGAGCAAATTTGACTTGCTAAATATCTTATAAGTTTTCTACTGCAGTGTGAGCAGACTTGTAGCCTCAGTGGTTTTATGGCCACAGACATGTGTTTTTTGCCTTTTTACCAGAGAAGCATGATCATTTCTGATACCGTTGCTCATCTTTTGTAAAACTGTGAAGCTTCAAGCAGAAGTTTCACAGCCACACATGAGGCTTGTTGTTTAGGTTTTTAGGGATTTCTGTGCTCTCTCTCTCTTTTTTGAGAGAAATTTGAAAGTACGGGCTTGCGAACACAAGTCCTAATCAAACACTATTCTCTGCCATTCTGGCGCATTTTCTATTTTTTCTTCACACACATCATATTGTCTGATTTTCTTTCATAACAAGTCTGTTGTTGTTGTTTACTTGTCGTGTTTCATATTTCATAGTCCCTCAGCTCAGTAGGTTTTTTTTCCATTTAAGTGTGGCTTAAATGTGATAAATTATACATACAATACAGATAGCCTCATTGTGTCCTGCACCCTTTTGCCCATTTTTACTGACATTCAAACAGGAAATCTTGTCTTTCTCTGAAGCAGGTTTCGCTGCAGTTTGTTTGTATTCATGTCTTTTAGTATGTAGTTTACCGTTTATTGATGGCCACATGAACACCTTTTATTTTGTCCCTTAAACCTGCATCTAGAGTACATGAACATGTTGATGTATATTGTAACTAATAACACAAGACATTTTGTATTTTGGATAATATGTTTACCTTTTAACCTTTGTATTTTTGGCATCTTCCCACCATAATAATCTATAATACATAGTACACTGTCAGTTGTTGTTTAAATATGTATGTATGCAATTCAATTTTATTTATATGTGCCAAATCACAACAACAGTCACCTCAATGCGCCTTATATTGTATGGCCCTAGCTGAGCCATACATACAGAGAAAAAAACCCAACATTCATATGACCCCCTGTGAGCAAGTACTTTGGCGACAGCAGGAAGGAAAAACTCCCTTTTAACAGGAAGAAACCTCCGGCAGAACCAGGCTCAGGGAGGGGCGGGGCCATCTGCTGCGACCGGTTGGGGTGAGAGAAGGAAGACAGGATAAAGACATGCTGTGGAAGAGAGACAGAGATTAATAACAAGTATGATTCAGTGCAGAGAGGTTTATTAACACATAGTGAGTGAGAAAGGTGACTGAAGAAGAAATACTCAATGCATCATGGGAGTCCCCCAGCAGCCTACACCTATTGCAACATATCTAAGGGAGGATTCAGGGTCACCTGGTCCAGCCCTAAATATATGCTTTAGCAAAAAGGAACGTTTTTGGCCTAATCTTAAAAGTAGAGATAGTGTCTGTCTCCTGAATCCAAACTGGAAGCTCTCCCTCCCATTCTACTTTTAAATACTCTAGGAACAACAAGCAGGCCTGCAGTGCGAGAGCAAAGTGCTCTAATAGGGTGATATGGTACTACAAGGTCATTAAGATAGGATGAGGCCTGATTATTTAAGTCATTAACAGCAGGATTTTGAATTCAATTCTGGATTTAACAGGGACCCATTTTGGATTAACTGAAGGATTTTCAGGGAGTTTTTAAGACATCCTGATAATAATGAATTTCAGTAGTCCAGCCTAGAAGTAATAAATGCATTAACTAGTTTTTCAGGGTCACTTTGAGACAGGATACTTCTAATTTTAGAGATGATGTAAACATGTGGGTGAACATGTTTACATCCAAATTCAAGATATCATTTCTATATCATTAAGTTGCTTGAAGACGTTTCACCTCTCATCCAAGAAGCTTCTTCAGTCCAGACACTTTTCTTTGCAAGCTCCTTTGACTGATGCTATATTTATTCTGAATTTCAAATTATGTTGGAATGTAAACCTATCATATGTGCCTTTTACTTCTTTTATTTGTTCAATTCTTTTTCTTTACCTGTAATTTATGTACATGCAAATTGCTTTTAAGCAATAATTGTTATTATTGAAAATAATGCTGAAAATAATAGCAACAAATTTGTTATGTTTCTTGTAAAATAATAATTTTTTATTGAAGATAAGTTTGGAGGGTGAAGTATACAAACCCAACTCTTTAGGAAACAGTAAAAAAAACTAAACAAACCATTATTGTCAGTCTATTCAGGACATAGAGACTGACAACAATTCACTCCCACAGTAACACTGATGGCCAGCGTACAAACTCCAAGCAGAGAGGCCCCAGCAGGTTGGCAGATTTAAACTCAGGACTGTCTTGATGTCAACCTTTCACCATTGCACCCCTCTAAACAGAAACTCCACCCAAATACTTACTGAAAATATAAAATTCCAAAATGCAAAAAGACCTGTAAGCTAAAGGTCTATCAGAGGCTTTAATCCTCTTCATCTAGCTGCTCCATCATCCTATATCTAGCATCCACTTCTGTCACACCAGCCATCTACATGTCTTAAAATACTGTAATTTAAGAAATTAATTAGTTAATGATTTGGCAGTCCATCTATGACCTTTGACTAAATTTAGTTTATTACTTGACATTAACTTGTCAAAATCTGAATGAGAGTTAAACATTGCATATAAACTTTCCAATTTCTCTAATTAAAATTCTGAAATATCAGAGTAATGAAAAAGAACTACTCCATACATTTGAAACCTACAATCACGTGACAATAATGGGATTAATGTTGTTTGTAAAGCTCACCAGTGTTCATCATGGCTCATCATGTTTTAATAATTCATGCGCATACCAAGGGTCAATTGAATTTCCTATGTCTTCCTTATAATTACATTTTAATTATATTAATTTTGTTTAATAATTATGTTTCTACCAAATACTATTAAGTCTCTGGGCAAAATATTACTTTAAGAAGTGAAAAGAGAGGAAAAAAATACATTTCTGGTTTTCTGATGGAGGCTGGAGCGTAATTTTTCTACTTTTCCATGTATACTTGTCCTGTCTGGTCCTTATGAACTGAGAACAACTCAGTTTCAGTTGTTATTTTAGTAATGAGTGCATGTCAGTTAGAAAAGGACATGATGCTCATTTTCATTGCATCCCCAGTGTGTGATTTAGGCTGATTATGCAGCAGCAGTGCACTAACAAATTGCTAAGTGAAGCTTTAAAAAGTAAAAAAGACCAAAACAAAACCCCTTAACATTACAATAAGGTAGCTGCTTTAGGTTTAAACACAACCTTCCTTCATGCGTTGACAGCTTCATCACCTTCCTAAGAACTGGACTTGATTCATGAACGAGCCTTTAAACGAG